CTGAGAGGAGAATGGAGAAGGGATTTTGGCGTGGCCATCCCCGCTGGGAGGTGATTTCTCGCTTCCTGGCTCTCTGTCTTTCTGGTGAGTACACGAGCCCTATAGCAAAAATCTCTCCAAAAACAATCCCACAACCCCACCCCCTCTCCCATGTCACATGACCACAAAGTTTACATCTCCGCATGCCTATCTCACTTCGGCCCCCGAGAGCCCTGCTGGGTAGACTCTGTCTCTTATTTCCAAGGGAAGAGAACGTTCAGAGGGGAGGTCACGCCCCAGGCCACACAGCCAGCCGTCAGCCCTCCCCTAGGACCTTGGGAAGAGGTGTCCTGGGGTTCCGCAGCTAGGAGGCTGGGGACAGCCCCTGGCCTGGCCACACAGGCCCAGAAGTCAGGGCAGCCAGGCAAGCCAAGGCGGGGTCACCTGCAGCTCCTCCTCCATGCCCTTCTGGTGACTGTTCAGCCGCAGCTCGTGCGACTTGAACCCACTGCGGCCCATGGAGCTGAGCGTCACGTTGAGGAGCTTCTCCTCGGGGGTGTGGGAAGCGATCCAGTACGCAGACAGGGCGTCCAGGGCGATCACCGTGTCCTGGGGGGGAGGGGCCGACACTCAGAGGCTTGGTCTCAGGACCAGCGAGCCCTGCTCCTGGGCAGCCCCTACCTGGGTGCTGCGGAATCCCCCTTGGAAGGAGGCCTGGCGGGTGAGCCAGGCTGCAGCCTGGTCCGCCATCTCTGCCTTGCCTTCCCGGAGCAGCAGGTGCAGCAGGCCGTAGGCCGTGGTCTCAACCCAGAGGGCCGGGGCCTGGGGCACGGGGTCTGCCGGGTTGCGAGGAGCCAGGGTGGGTGACACGATATTGCTCTGAGAACTCGGGATTGAGCCCCAGTACAGGTTATCTGGAAACGAAGGGAGACGCACAGGTGAACGGGGGGTGCGGGGGGCCGCAGAGCACCCTGGTGGCCCGACCCCTGGATGGCCCTTGCCAAGCTTTCCCGACTCTGTCCTCAAATCATCCCTGCTTCTGCATGAATTCCATCTCCAGGTCTCCATGTGGTCTCTCCCTCTGGGTACACACAGGGGGTCCCAGGTCCCTGAGCCCCAGGCTCACTGCCAGGCCCCGTCCCTCACCGCCAGTTTCCTGGGCCATGGCCATGAGGTTGTTGTGGGCCACATCCTGCAGGTCCTGGCGGGCCTTGGTCAGCGTCAGGGCGTAGGCGGTGATGGCGGCCGCGTGTGCTCCCAGGAGCCCGCCACTTGCTTTCTCCCCCAAGAATGCGTTCGCCTTCGAGATGGAGGCTTCCTGGAACAAAGCGGGGCAGAAGGCCCGGGGGCTGGACACGGGGGTTCTGAGGAGAAACGGGGACGCTGGGGCTGGCGAGGGCAGACACAGGGGTTCCTACCACCATCTGCCTCAACTGCTCGGCACTCTTGTCCTGGAAGACGACCAGCCCGTGCTGGAGGGCGATGACCACGAAGGCCGTGAGCGCCACCGTCTCGTCATTTCCCACCAGGCCCCCCTGGCGGGGAGGAGAGATGTCAGCCAGGGGTGGGGAGGGGCCCGGTCTTGCCACCACACCCCCGCCTGTCCTGGGACACCATACCTGCATGTCCCTGTGGATAACCGGACAAGGGTCCTTGAAGGAGCCGTCGGCCTGCTGTTGGGACAACAGCCACCTAGCCGTCTCCTGCAGCTTGTCGGGCGAGCCGCCCACCTGATCCTGGGCCACACTCAGGACCTTCAGCACGAAGGCTGTGAGCCTAGAGGGCGGCAAGGGGGACAGGGGTAGGTCTCAGCCCACCCGGCAAGCACCTGGTCATTCGCCCTCCCGCGGCGGTCGCTGCGGCCCCGCCCCAGCCTGACCCCTCGCCCCCTCTCACCAGGTACTGCTGTCTCGGTGTAACCAAGCCCCGTAGGAGCCATCTGTCTTCCGAAACTGCTGGATCCGCATGTAGCCTTGGAGACGGACGGAGAGGAGGCCGCTGAGGGGACGGGCCCTCTGCCGCCGTGTGCTGTGGCCATGTCCCCCAGGCCATGCGGGACTCTTTCTTCCCCCACCTCGCCTCCCGGGCTGCCCCTGCCCCCAGAACCTTTCTGGATCAGATCCACAGCGTGGTCCTTGGTCTCGGGGGGCAGCGTGCTCCACTGCTCTGTCTGGTCCAGGTAGCGGGAAGCCGCCAGCGTCGGGGACAGGTAGATCATGGTCTGCTCCCCACAGCCCCTGGGCAGCCTCAGCAGAGAGGCCAGGCCTCCCGGGGACAAGGCCCCGTCAGAGCCGAAAGTGTCCATCGGGTCTGAGGCTGTACGGGTGGGAGAGGGTGGGAGATCAGAGGTCACGGAGCTGCGGATCAGTCGAGGGTGTACGGGTTTCACACGACGGGGGGACGGCCACCGGGAAGGGCTCGGAGGACACGGCAACCTGTCACTCTGACGAAGCTGCTGAAGTCTCCGTCGGGGATAACGTTTGGGTCAGAGTTGCCAGGAACTTCCAGGGTCCGGCCTCGGTGGTCTGGGGAGATGGTGGCTGTTGGCCATCTGTCCTGCTGTCCACACCCCCTGCACCAGCCCCTTTAGGAAACTGAGGCCAGGGCCTGGGCCACTCACCCAGCGGGTTGAGTTCATAGACCAGCTCCTCCCTGGAGAGGGCCCCTTCCTTCTGTCTCGGAGGAAACTCGCTGTGAGAGGTCACCCAGGACCGCACCCGCCCGCCTGCCCGGGGCGGGAGTTCACACTTCAGGGACAGGATTGGATCTGAACTGCACAGACTCACAGACCACAGCATTGGGCTTGGGTGCTGGGCTCCTGGCCCGGCCAGCAGGATGCCGGGGCGGGGACCCACCAGGGAGACTAGGGGCCTGGAGTCAGGATACGCCGCTCACCTCGATCTGCAGAACTTTGGACACTGCATCCCCGACAGGGAACTCGAAGGAGCCTCGAGCCACCACCTTCACGGACACAGCAGCGGCCGGCGGGGGGCCCCGTGGGCACCACGGAGAAGGCCACCGGCCGGGCAGAGCCTGCAGGCACCAGCACCTGCTGGGCCAGCCCTCCGCCGCCAGCCAGACACAGCCCCTCCACCGGGGACACGTGGACGCTCACCTGGGGCGGGAAAGTGGCAGAGCCTCAGCCCAGCAAGGCTTCCCGCACGCGCCCCACCCCGTGCCGGGCTCCCGGCCTCACGGGCAAGTCTCTGTCCAGGTAGTTGTAGAGCACAGGCCGCAGCTCCAGCTGCTCGAAGCGGCGGACGGAGACGGGCAGGCGGAGGTGTACATGGAACTCGCGGAACACCCGGAATCGCGCTGGCGTGGCCACGCACAGGCCTGCCGGCCGGGGGGAGCATGGGCCAGAGATGGGGTTAGGAGGCGCGTCAGCCTCGGGCCACAGCGGGGAGAACGCCTGGCCTGCCCCCAGCACCCGCGCTCCGTGCGAGCGAGCACGCCGCCACCGACGCCCCACATCTCTCGGCACCCTCGCTGTAGGACAGCAGGGGAGCAGAAGGGCGACACCCGCCCCGGCGGCCGACCTCACCTGTGCTTTTGGACAGGCTCACACCGTGGATCTCCCACGTGGTCAGAGAGTCAGGGAGAAAGGCTGTCAGCCTGTGCGGGACGAGGTGGAGAAGCCCAGTCACACCCAGGCTGGCCCCAGACAGCCCGCAGCCGCGGCCAGCCCCGCTCGGGCCCTCACGTCTGGGAGCGGTCCACCGGGATCACCCTCCACAGCCAGTTCTCCGGGAAGAAGCTGCGCACAGGGATGTCGTCCTCGTCCATCAGGTCCTCCTCCTGCAGGATCTCCAGGGCTGGGGACCACGCCGACGGAGTGAGGACAGGCCCGGCCTGCCTTTCCCGGCCCCGCTGCCTGCCCGCCAGCCCCACCCGGCCCCTTACCTCGGGCGAGGCCCACCTGGCCCCTGGCCCGGCTCTTCTTGCGCAGGCTCTCGGCAAACTGGCAGCAGGACAGGAAGGGCTCCCGGCAGGCCGAGCTCTTCACGCGAAGGGCGCGCTGCTCACAGGAGCGTGCCATGGGCAGCCGGGTGAGCCCGTCCTGGCAGCAGCGCTTGGCCATGGGGGACGCATACTGGCCCACTGCAGGGCCAGGTCAGGGCAAGCATGTGGGAGCAACGAGGGACACGACTCAGCCCCCACCAGGGCCCCGAGACCCCCCCCACTGGCCTCACGAGACCAGTAACACGGGAGAGGTGGGTAGAAACGGCCAACCTGTAAGTCCACTGAATCTCTGGCCCCAGTACCACACTCGGGCTCCCTGAGGGGCAGAGGGGACAGGCCGCCCCTCCCGGCCCCAGCCACAGCGGGAGCAGCTCTGCAGGCGCCCCACTCACACTTCTCACTGATGGCCTTTTGGAAGTCCACGCTCCTCCTTCTCCGGGCTTTCGTCTCCTTGGGACAGCCTGGACCTGGGAGGGAGCAAGGCAGTCCAGCAGCAGGTCGGGCAGCGCAGGCCTCCCCCTCCCCTGCCCAGCCCTTCCTGCCCACCTCTTCCTACCTTGCCCCCCACCCCGTCTTCCCACCACCGGCTCCCTTCCGCCTCTGTTCTCACTCTTTCTAACGGAGGTCAGCTGTTCTCCATCAGAGAAGGCCAGGCCTGCGGCCTCGAACACCTGCAGGGCACTGTCGCCGCCCCCAGGACCACAGCTGAGGTCATAGCTGCCCATAACTTCAAAGACCTGGCAAGAAAGGGCAGGGATGCTGGGGACCCGAGAGGGACTGAGGGCCAGGTCAGCTGCTTGGCTGTGGGTGAGAGGGCAGGCTGTGGACAAGTAGAGGAGAGAGAGCCGGGAGACCGCAGGGCCGAGAGAAGACGTGGGTGCGGCCCTGTCTCATGGAGGCCCGTGGACGAGAAAGCTCGAGGGAGACAGGGAGGAGCCCTGGGCAGCCTGAGTGAGCTCCAGAGGGTGGGCCCGGCAGTAGGGAGGAGCCATGGACGGGCAGGAAGGCTGGGGACAGGGTCTTGACTAACCTTGCGCATGTCGAGGGGCTTATGGGTCCTGCCGCCCACTGCATACAGAGCCGTGTCCACAGCTCCCAGGGCCACCAGGGCTTGGGAATCGGTGTGTACGCGGAGCTTCATGAGGTCCCCGTTACGGAACTCGGTACCATCCACCTTCAGCTCCACCTGGCAGAGGTGGGAGTGGGAGAAGAGATTTTTGCTATATGGCACAAGTGCAGAGAGACAGAGAAAAATCACCCCCCGGGTGGATGGCCATGCTGCAATCCCTTCTCCTCTCAGGATGTTGGGCATGCACACGCACGCACCCGGCATGAGATTTTTTTTTTTTTTTT